CTTTAACTAATTTTTATTGCGGAGCAAATAAAAACACTGTTAAGCTGTCAGCGCACGGACAATCACTTGTTCTTAATACAATATATTTTTTCAATAACGATATTACATATGGCATCTTTAAGCCCAGTTTGATCCTTACGTTCATATTTCATGCGTTGCTTGCACTTGCTAGAAGGTATAGTACAATTAACTGACAGTATCTGGCGCGCGTATCGTATCGACAAATTTGTTTGAAAGTTATATATCATTCGATTTCAACGAATGTATTATCTATCATTCCTAATTAAACCATACAACTCCTCCAAATTTTAAACAATATTTCCACAATTATTTCTCCTGCGGCAGCAACGCGCCGGGTATCAGCTAGTATTTAATATTTTATTTCGTACATACATAATGTATAGCATATTACTTTTAAGTGGTTGAGCCAACTAGGAATGGGTCGGCTCGATTGGGAAAGGACCAAGCTCTCACAGAATACTAGCATGAAATAGCGGCCTCATGCTGTGTGCCACGTTTCTAATTGAAATTCAAATTACTTATTACATATCACATGCAATATAAAGTAACATATGCCCACAAGTCCCTAGCAAACAGAGGACTGTATTTTTTAATTTTAGAATTTAATATGTTTACTTTTTGACTTTTGTTTTTAGTGGATGCTCATGAGGGGGGTTGTATATGTAAACTATCAGGTGTACATACGACCCGCACGTCCCCAGCAACAAGAGGACAAATTTTTTAATTATTTAACATTTTAATATTTATTTTAAAATATCGTAAACGCTCAATATTATTCTATGATAAATAATGAGAAATATAACGTTGTGTAAGCATTCCTTTTTTGCCATAAATTATCGTCAAAAATTATTTTGATATATTATAAGGTTATAACCTTATTTTTAATCTGAAAAAGGGTATACTAAGATTATTTAATTTTCTATTTTTCTTTAAGGTTTATTTTTCAAACGTGAGTAATTTTTTACGTGTTACAGGATTTCATTTGGTCTATATTCATAAATATTCGTAGACACTTCTTTTATAATACATAATATAAATAATTTGTCTACATCACAAGAGTTACCCCACAAGATGAGGCCGTATGTAATAATCTAATGAACATGTACATAGTAGGCCGCAATAGCAGTACTTAAATCTGTACTATACACGATTGGAGTGTTGGAAAGCCTAAATAAAAGCGGTCATTGTTTTCACAAAGTTTGTATGTGTTAATTAATACAAAAGTGTATCCAGGTTTATTCTTACAAAGTATCAGATTCAACAGTTTCTAGTTGAGTTAAAAACACCGGAGACCATTTGTACCAGTGAAGGATAATTTTTTAAAGTTCAATTATTTTTCCTTTTGAGTATACTAAGAAATATCATAAGTTAAAGGTCACAACGAGAATGTCGTCCGAATATTAAGAAATTTCATCCCCTATTTTTCCACCGTTAGGGGCAAACTTTTTTATTAAAATTTATAAATGATCAAGGGATCAAAAAGAAGCCGCGGTATCTTTGGGGATAAGCGTTCGCTGTAAATTTCACAGTACGCGAGCAACCCGGGTTCGATCCCCGACAGCAACAATGAAATTTGTAAGTTGTAATTTTAAGTGCTGATTTATCACGTTCTCGGCACTGAAGGAAAACATCAAGAGAAAACCTGCATGTCTCAGAAATAGAAAAAATATTTCGAGGACATATGAAGTTCGCCAACACGTTTGGGGCAACGCAGCGTACATCTCCTTGCTCTAAAACCCTATCAGAAATGAGAGGACGCTTGTGCTCGGCGCTGGGACGTACGAATATATAGACTGTAACGTTAACGTTAGTAAAAATCTTACTAATTTTTAAGTTTATAATAACCGCTTAAATTCTAATGGTTCATTTAAATCCTTACCTGTGAAATTGCTGCATTTTGGGTAATCTAAACGTTGGCACTATCTTAATTTCATAATATCTTTACCTTGAATGCCAAGTTCTAATTAAAATTATTTATGTCATGAAATTGTTTAAAAAATTTAAAATACGTGTTAAATTTGATCCGTCTTAAAAGAGGATGGGGTTCTATAATGAAAGAGACACGCGCTTTTTAAATATATTTACCAATTTTTTTTGAAGATGTGTAAACTTATTTAAATGATTTTTATTTAATCGAATAGGCTGGTTATACCGCGATAGTAGCCTCGTTTAAATTTAAAGGAAGAAATACATACGCAAGAGTAGAAAAATATAGGATGGTTTTGGTTTCAAATATTTAGGCGACATTCCAGTCGTAGGCCTTGAGCTTGTGTTATAGCTAAGTACTTATTGATCGAAGGTACACGCAATGAAACGATGGTAAAATCTCAAGCTTATAATAAAAAATGAAAACGACTTCTAAGGATGAGGCATTAGTTTTTCAACCCACTAAGTCTTAGCACAGACTTTTTAAACTATTACTTGATTTTTAATTATTATTTTTTAGTTTTTGAAGTTGGTTTTTATTTTTCATTAAAAGTATTTTTTAAATATAATTACAATCTCCACTATTCATACTCCAGCCATTATACACTACAAGGTTGTAGAACTTTTATTCTGTCTAAAAGTTTCGTTATGTATTCTAAACCTTCTCAACTATTTCTACCACAAACAGCAGTACATGGTCCGGTGTATTATATAGTCTGTAAGGTGTTGAGGGCTCGTATTATAACAGGTTGTGAAGCAGCCCATGTAAGTTCTCAGAGGTAATGACGCATCTGTATCTTCTTTTGTGCATACAGTAGCCACTTACAGTCCACCACGGTAAGTGTGTTTCTATCGTGGTAGAGCCACGCTGCAGCTATATCTTGGCTTTAGCACGAATCGGTCGGCTCGACCGGGAAGGATCACGCTCTCACATAATACCAGCGTAAAATATCACCTTAATACTGCTGTGTTTCGTATGGTGAGTGTAGAGAGACGGAGATCCTTTTTTACTAAAATAAGGCATTAGGGGTGAAAACGCGACTGCGTTTTGTTTCTTTCTTTTCTTAACCGAGGATAAATGCAGATGTCTATGTGCCACAGCATCCCCTTACCATCAGGTGGACTTTGTGCTCGTCTGTCATCCTATCCTATAAAAAATACAATTCTTTTCTAAATTATTCTGCACTCCCTTACAAAAACAACACTAAAATGCCTATTTTTATTGTGTAGTTTATGGAAAACACAAATATAAATCGCTCAGTGCACCTAATCTTAAATTAAGAATCAAAATGTAGATGTGTTGTCATCCCTGAGGACTAATAGAATGTCTCGTTACCAGCAAGGAGCATGTCCGGTATTCTACTCGCACCATACGAATCGCAGAAGACTGCTTCTAGGTTACTATTTTATGCTGGTACCTCTGAAATCGTGATCCTTCCCTGTTGAGCCGACCCATTCCTGCTGCCACCATAATTTAGCTACAGTATAACTGGTAACGTGGTAGGCGTTGTAAGTGTTTTAAGTCGTTTAAGTTTTGTCTTTACTGACGCTCCACAATTTTGTCTGACCCATTTTTTATATTGATTTTATTGAGTTATTTAAGTAGGAAAGGCCAAAACTTTTTCAATTTATTATAGGTACGTAAATGAGTGGTGGTATAAAATATTAAACTTTCTTGAGGGGAGAATTGAAAGAGAACTTCAGTAATTAAGTGGATCATTAAAAAGTGGTAAATATTATTTTAACCGACTTCAAAAACGGAGGAGGTGCTCTTTTGGGATGTTTATATTTTTTATAAATGTTCGAGCATAACGTCATCATAAATAGACGGTTGGAACCACGATTGGTGCTATCGCATTGTTTACGCAATCACACTACACAACATCACGCCTGTACCCTCTAAAGGAGTAGGCAGATATGTTTAGTATATCAATGTACAACCTCATTTTTGTCTAAGTTGTTATATTGAAATCGGTTGTACAAAATTTTTAATTTACCATGTGTTGATTATATGTAATACAGTCTTAAATAAAGTTAATATTACACACCTCAAATCGCTCACGGCAATCACTCAGACATAACTATTTGTACTGTAGGTACAAGAGGTTCGTATTATTAAGCAAGATTTATTCGTTCATATTTGAGGAATCATCCAATCCAATCGATATGAAAATGTTAAATGGACTCGTTGTAAAGGAAGGTCAGGTATGTTACTATAGCATTGACTCAGTTCGTCGAAAGCCCACATAGGCGTCTATAATGGGGGAACTCATATCTGCCATAACTAAGACGCTACACAGTCGGGTTCGTAAGCGTAGAATTTTATCTAGTTGTTATCAGGAATATGGAATGGTTATCAAGAAAGTGCTGCTGTGTTTTTTTTTTTGCCTCATTTCCAGTAAAAAAGTGTCTTCGGATCGCTACACTTACCATACGAAGCACAGCAGTATTAAGCTGATATTTTACGCTGGTATTCTGTGAGAGCGTGGTCCTTCTCCGCTCGGGCCATCCCATTCGTGCTACAACCATAATATACCATGACCCTACCACGTATAGAAATGAAAATGTCTATTCTTTGCTTTATTTCCCGCTGTCACAATTTACAAAACCCCATAAGATGATTTGGCATAGTGGAAGAGTACAAGGTAGGGTATAGTTCAAAATCTTATATAGAGGTTGGGACAACGCTGGACATGTTACAGACTGCATGCAGACTTCCCGGAGCGCCTATTTTTCACATATGTGATATGTTCTTTCACGCGGGCGATACGAGTATGTAACCAATCTTCTAATCACTTAAAGAACCTGAGGAAAGTAGCACTTCTAGCACTGTCCAAATATTTTGTAGTTCCGCATTCTATACGAGTATATCGGTTTATTTAACAAACGAAATTCAACTCTAAGTGCTATACGGCGTGACCTAGAGCGGACAAAAGTCTTTTACTTCCTATTAATAGCACACAATTACTGTGCGGGGAGTTGTATAAAATGACCAGTGTTCACCCAGATTTATCATTCACCGTTCACTATTCAGCAAAAACATACTTATCAAAATGGCAGCTAAGGTGAATAATTATTTCAGTATAAATCGTGTATTTTTTTGCAAAAGCCATCAATAATAATTTTATATTCAAACTTTTAAGAGGATTTAACCTCATCTACCAAGTAGTGGCGCAGTACCAGCATACAAGTGGCGATATAGGGAAACAAACCAGGAGATGATCAGCAGCATCGTTTTTAAAACAAGCCGCCTTTTCTTAACATAACACCGCCTGACTAGAGTTTCAACAATTGCCAATATCCCACTTATGAGGCAATCTGTAGGGAGGCTTATGTTCAGGAGTTGAGTTGGACAAGCTGTGATGAATAGATGAGTGAATGTAGAACTAATAACATGTTTGTACATTTCAGTTCGTCGTTATCGCCATGTTGGTGGCAGCTGCTCAAGGCAGCGCAATCCACGGCGGAGACTACTCGAGCTTCTCATATGGCGTAGCTGACCCACACACCGGAGACGTTAAGAGCCAGCACGAGACCCGCGTCGGAGACAATGTTGTCGGCCAGTACTCGCTGCTAGAGTCGGACGGCCATCGCCGCACCGTAGACTACGCTGCTGGACCTCACTCTGGATTCAACGCTATCGTACGCAGAGACCCTGCTGTGATTGCTCACGCCGCCCCTGCGGTCGTTGCTGCTCACGCCGCACCTTTGGCGTACGCCGCTCACGCTAGCCCCCTGGCCGTTGGAGCTCACATTGCACCTGGCGCTGTATCCTACTCAGCCCACAGCAGCTCTGTTGCGCACGGCAGTCCACTCGTTCACTCTGCAGTTGTAGCTGCTCCTCTTGCTCACGGTGCCATCGCCTATGGCGCACACGGTCTCGCCTACGGTGCTCAAGGTCTAGGCTACGGTGCTCATGGTCTTGGTGCCCATGGTCTCGGTGCCCTGCTGGTCTCGGCTACATTCATTAGGAACTGAACGATAATAAAACTACTAGGCAATAGTAATGTAACTACGAATATAATTTATTCCAATGACATATGAGTAAATGATGTGAAACTGTGATTGAATTAATGAATAAACTTGTATAAGTTTAAAAGTTATTTTATTCCTTATTCCACTACATATTGTGTAAAAGTTATGTACTTAATACTATATAGTTTTTTCAATAAGAATTTTATTTAAGAATGGCATCTTTTAGCCCATTTTGAACCTTATGCTCTCAAGTCCCGTAATATCTAATATACATATAAAAGTTATTGTTTGTTTGTTCGTATTTTATGCGTTGCTATACCATTATTATACCATAATTATTGCTTGTAATTGCGCAAAGGTATAGTAACATTAACTTACAGTATCTGGCGCGCGTATCGTATCTACATGTTTGTCTTTTCAATGATTGTGCATATTATCTATCATTTCTAGTTAAACAATAATAATAATAATAGTATATTTATTTGCTTAAAACATGGTATGAAAAGATTTTACAAATATTATATAATCGAACAACATGTTTTGCTAGAGTTACATATAGCACGCGAAAGATTTTTATCGTAAATTAAGACTTGTGATTAATATAGTCCATAACATTATAGAAATTATTCTTAACTAGGTATTCCAGTAATTTCGATTTAAATAATCTAGTATTTAACATTTTAATATTATTTGGTAACTTGTTATATAAACGTACACACATAGATAAACAGCTTTTATTATATTTACTTATTCTAGGATTACCACTTAATATGAGTTTGTATGGGTTTCGCCGGATCCGAGGATTTACATCATCCGCCGTATTAAATAAATATTTATGCTTCCATACAAACATACATATTTCATAAATATAAAAACATGGTAGGGCTAATAAGTCAAGATTTCTAAACACCTGTTGACATGATTCAGTTGGTTTAAGCCCACACATTGCTCGAATACATTTTTTTTGTGCACGAAATGCTCTATTTTGATCCGTGCTATTACCCCAGATTATAAGTCCATAGCGCAGTATTGACTCGACGTATGCATGGTAGGACAGAACAGCCGTTTTTATGTTGGTGACGTTTTTTAAATGTTTAAGGGCATATGCAAATTTATTTAATCTCGTAGATACATCGTTTACTTGCAATTTCCAGTTAAAATTTTCATTCATATTTATTCCTAGAAATTTTGTATTTGTTACTGCTTTTATTTTTGGTATGTTATGATTAATATTATATTTTTTATTATTACATTTATTGAATTGTATATATACAGATTTGTCAAGATTTATTTTTAAATTGTTTATGTCAAGCCATTCAACTAATTTATCTATAGTGTTATTTATGTCAGTCTCATGGTCATTAATAGTATTATCTTTTTTATTGGAAGTCACAATTATTGAAATATCATCCGCGATTAATATGCATTTATGATTTGTTATATTAACAATGTCATTTATATATAATAAAAAATTATTTTTATTATATATAAATGTGACATTGTTAAATGACATTGTAAAATTAAATATAACTCTTCCTATTTTAAAAAGATATTTCCACTATTATTTCTTCTGCGGCAGCAACACGGCGGGTACCAGCTAGTACTTGATATTTTATTTCGTACATACGTAATGTATAGCATATTACTTTTAAGTGGTTGAGCCAACTGTATTATGATTGCAACAGGAATGGGTCGGCTCGATTTGGGAAGGACCAAGCTCTCACAGAATACTAGCATGAAATAGCGATCTTATGCTCTCTTTCATGTTTCTAATTCAAATTCAAATTACTTATTACATTTGACCCTCAAGGCAAATAATTGCTAGTGCTAGCAACACCAAAGAACTAACAATTATTTAATTATTTAGTATTTTAACATTGATATAATATATCATAAACATTCAATATTATTTTATAGTAAATAATTAGAAATATAATGTTTTCAAAATATTCTTGTTTTTCCATAAATCATCGTGAACGAATTGATTTTTATATATTATAACTTTTATTAATAAGGAATGTTTTGTTTATTAAATTACGCGCGGTTTTCAAAGTTTTTTAAATAATTTCGTACATGGTTATAATAGATAAATAGGGGATGGTTTTGGTTGCATATGTTGAGTAGACATTCTAGTTATTGCTTAGTTCACACAATGGGGAGGAACTTAAACTTATAATAAAAAAATAAATACGACTTCTTAAGTTGAGGCTTTAATTTTTTAACCCGCTAAGTCTTATCACAGACTTCAAAAGCTATTACGAGATTTTTTGTTATTATTTTTAGTTTTGATCGGTTTTTATTTTTCATTAAAAATATTTTTTTAAATGTAAGTATATTACAATATGCCACTATTCCTACTCTAGCCGTTACAGACTACAAGTTGGTAGAACTCTTATTCTGTCTAGAAGTTTGGTTATGTATTCTACTTTCTCGACTATTTTTAGCACAAACAGCAGTACATGGTCCGCTGCATTCTAGTCTATAGGTATTGAGGGCTAGTGTAATAACAGGCTGTGAAGCATCCCATCGTAGTTCTCAGAGATAATGACGCATCTGTTGAAAGATTTCTATGTGCATGCAGTAGCCACTTACAGTCCACCACTGTAAGTTCGTTTGCAGGTGGGTTTGGGTCGTCGTGTCTCGAAGTCCCGGGATTTTTCGTAATTTTAGTTGTCTCGGGTCCCGGGACGTTCGGGTCGAGACTCGAGACGAGACAAGATTCTCGAAAATGTTAATTTATCATTTTTATTTTCAAATAATTGCAGGAGCCTAGCGCCATCTGTTAGTTAAATTTCAAAAGGATTTTCAGTTGTTTGAAGCAACCGAAAAACGTACAGAATGTTTGGAACAACTGTATAAAGCCTTAAACACAATTAAACCGACATCTGTTGAAAACGAGAGTGTGTGTTCTCCTTGTCCGATGGCATTATTACAAAAATCAGAAACAGATTATCGAACAAAGCTATTGACGCTCTGCCTATTTTATTAAACAAGCAAAGAAGTCTAATTAATGTGTTAGTTGATTACTTGAAGGTCTGATTTATAAGTCGGCTTTATTATTTTTAATTAGATTATTTAATTATGAAACAAATCTGAATTAACAATGTAGTTATTATGAGCAATGATTAGATTCTGGAATTACTAGATAATACTAAAGTTGAGAATTAGTATGATTTTTCACTAGGTTCGTTTTATAACTATAAGATTTAACCGCCGCAAAGAATGAAAATATTAAGATAAATTATATTTTTTTAATAACATTAATAAATGTTGATTTTTACAAAAATTGCCTTTTTTAATAAATTTCACCTAAAATTTACTCAATTAAAATTCTTCAAAAAAGGCTCACTTCTCTTAAAATTTTTTTTCTTGAAAGTCGAAGTCCCGGGAATTCCCGGGACTTTGATAGTAGACTGTCTCGTGTCCCGGGACTTAAAAATTGTCGGGAATTCCCAAACCCTAGTTTGCAGCTTAAACTTTTTAAAATATAGCTAGAAATTAACAAATTTATATTTTCACACAAATGTTGGCTTCGAAGAAGATTCTTGCCTTACGGTCTGTGTGCCTTACGACTACTTATGCTGGTATTCTGTGAAACCGTGATCCTTCCCTGGTAAGTCCACCCATTCGTACTGCAACCATAATTTTGCTTCAGCATAACTCTAGCACGTTAAAAGTGTATATGGTATACAGTAATAATTATTAGAATTTTTGTTTCACTGACGATTCACAATTTTATATGACGCATTTATTTTAATATTGATTTTATGGAGGTATAACTTCGTCATATATAGACTGCTGAAACCGCTATTGCTGCTGTCGCGTATCTATGAATTGTTTATGTAATCACACAATATAACAACGCCAACACTCTCTAAAGGAGTAGGCAGATGTGTTAAGTATATCATTGTACAACCTCATTTCTGTCAATGTTTTTATATTGAAATCGATTGAAAAAAATTAAAATTTTACCATTTGTTGATTATATGTAGTATTAAATAAAGCTAATATTACACACCTCAAATTGTTCACGGCAGTCACTCAGTCATAACTATTTTTAATGTACATTAATCTTATTAAGCAAGATTATAAATACTATGACTATGGAACCTTCGTATTATATTTGAGAAATCGTCCTATCCAATCAATATGATGATGTTAAATAGACTCATTGTAAAGTAAGGTATATAATTATAACTTTGACTCAGTCCGTCGAAAGTCCACATAGGCCTCTATTATGGGGGATCTTATATCTGCCCTAATTGAGACGTTCGGCAGTAGGGTTCGCAAGCGAAGTATTTTACTGAGTTGTTGTCAGGAATATGAAGTGGTTATCAAGAATGTGCTGCTGTGTTTTTTATGCCTCGTTTCCTGTAAAAAAGGAACTTTGGATACATATACTCATCATTAGAAGTACGCGCGTGGTCCTTCCCCAGTCGAGCCGACCCATTCGTGCTACAACCATAATGTAGCCGCAGCGTGACCCTACCACGTATAGAAATAAAAATGTCTATTCTTTGCTTCATTTCCCACCGTCACAGCTCACAAAACCCCATAAGATGACTTGGGGTAGTGAAAGGGTACAAAGTGAGGTATAGTTCAAACAATGTTGTAGCATTATGATCTCTACTACTACCGTTATTATTACAAAAGTTCGTTGCTACACATAGGCTTACAAAGAAAGAACACAGACAGAACTTACAGAGAAAAAGATAAAAAGGATCAACAATAAATTCAATACGTTTTACATTTGGATACATAAATCAACTGATGAAAACCAAAAAAAAAGAAATACAACACACAAAATAAAATTGCCAACTGCACTTAGACTGCTTTTTTTCTTTCATCAGCTCGAAACAGTCCACTGCTGGGCAGGAGCCTCCTAAAGATTTGCCTTAATCGACATACCTGGCAGGTGGATTAGCGATAGCAATATCATACGTCTTATATATTACGTTACGTCTGGTATTAAACGACACGGTTCTAACGCCATTATTTTTTTT